AGAGGAGAGGCAAGGAAGATAGAGAAGAGAAATAGTGTGTTAAATGTTCAATCTATTAAACTCTAAGAGAAACTTGATCAATAACAATCTAATATCGCTGACCACCAATTTCCTGACTTTATTCAATTGCTTCAGCACTTCCATTCTGAGGACTGTAATGTATACAAATAAATGGCATGGTGTTTATGAAATTGGTTGGTCCATTTGTAACAATATCTTTAACTGAGTACTACATATTCAACGTAGAAAGCAAACAAAAGGAAAATCAAGAATGCAATTGTGGGTGAATTCTTCAGTTTATGTCACATTATCTGTGTACTTTTGCAAACAGTACAATTAGAAAGCAATGTGAAACAACAAATAAAAAGGAAAAAGAAATGTCTGTCTTTAAAATAATGTTTAATAACTATAATTAATAGCGTTCTTTCACTTATAAAATGTAATTCCTTGTTTTCTACAAGGAACATACATTCATGAACAAATGAACAACAGGGAAAGGCTTTGAAAGTGTTAATAATACATTGAACATGCTAGTAACCTCTTATAAGAAACCTGAGGTCAAAGATAAATGACCTTTTTTGGCATTAAACTCTTTCAAATAATATCAGAACTTAAACAAATCTTAAAGACAACATCACAACTCTTGCCCTATCACAACACAAAAGTTGTGTCCATTTAAACTCCACTCCACTGGATGTGCATTGAGTAACTGCAGTGCATTGGGAAAGAGGATCTAAATCAATTTCTTAGCACAATAGAGTATTAGTTCTCGCCTGAGAGGCGTAAATAGACAATATAACCTGTGAAGAAACATGTGTAATCCTTTAATGGTATGGTCCTGCGTCTCTTCGTTCCTCTCTATAAATATTTAAGCGAAGGAAAGAAAGCGAGGATAAGCATCAATCAATAAGTGAGACGGTGTGAGCCGAGGACTGGCCATTCTTGGGATTCTCGGCGTAACTGTGTTTGACCAACAGATGGCAGCATTCTTGTTTTCTCACCAAATCAAGTCAATTGAAAACAGTGTTGGTGATGCACCAATTATCAACATTGGAATAAAATGGCCTTTTTTTCACAGGATTGCAACACAAAATATGAAGCATTTAGTTAAATAGAAGCACAAAGGATATTAAATCTTGAAAAGGACACACATTGATTAAAATGTCCTGTGCCATATGGACATTTCATTTAAAGCCCTGATTACAGAGATATAACTACTGAATAAGTTCATGAAAAGTTATCAAAGCAAAACTAAAGTGGGGCAATGGCATCAGTCTGATAGAAGAAACAGTTACATGTGTCAGTATAATGGCAGCTCAGCTACAGACAGGGTAATAATATAATACCTTGTAACAGGCGCAGTAGAGTATATTCATACTTAGCATTGTAATATAAATGTACCAATTGCTATCATTATACATAGAAGACAGGCAACATAGTGGGACCTACCACTTTAAAGTCCTAACTGAAGGAATTACTGAAGGACTTGGCAATGAGAAGCAATGGAGGATTAATGTTTTACGAAGGCGCATGACGGAATAGACTTGGTTTTTGAACCTGGGATCTCACACTCACAAGCCCAACTGCTCTACCACTAAGCTATCACCCCTCTTCAATCTATATTACAAATTCATGTTCGAGTCCGCCTCAGTAAAACATTTTGTTCAATCAAGGAATCTGTTCTCATTCTCAAGAATGTCTCACTAATCAATCTATTTGCAGTTCAAGACAAAACTCTTACAGCTCCCTCTTATGTTGAATGTCTAGTTATTTGTATTTTGTAAAACATCTGTGCTGTCTGTCAAGATAATTTCTGAAGAATGGAAAATGAAAGTGTGCTGGGAATCTTGACGTATCACAGCATGATCATGTCCCCACAATGTTTTTTCATGTCAAACATTGATGCTTTATGGATGATGTCCTAGGAGTGACTAAATTTACACTAGCCTTTATGACACAAAACCTTGCGACAGATTTCTTGGAAGTAGTATTTTCAGTCTATGCAGACTAAAAATTAATGGAGTGAACATTGGGGTGAATAGGAATACAATAAGTAACAGAATCTTTTAATAATGTAAACTGTATTATATTTATTTCATGATGAATTCAGATGATAAAGATCTGCATATCATTCCGCGGAAAATATATTGCAATCCATATTCTACAGTAGTTCAGTACTACGTAAGCTTGATAACCCTTTCTATTTACAGTTTTATTTATACAACTGAGATCAACTATTTCAAATTGACTCAATAGGCCATTTTGCATTCATTACATCTTGCTAGATAGGACATAATGTTTACCTACCTAGCAACAATTAAAGTATACAATTCACATTCTGACTATTGAAATACAGTTCTTTGTAACATTGCACTTAACAAAGATTCATGCATTAAATTTGATTACATTACGAAAATGGCGTATTAACACTCAAATTATAATCTTGGTGTTTGTCTTACTCTCAAACTACAGTTTCTACCTTCTAGCTTACCAGGTAGAAATAACTCAATAGGAGAGGATACTGTACAGAACATTTGTAGAAATCCTTCAGTAAGTGTAGATAATTCTTTGTTTCGTGAAGACAATGTTTTATGGTGGAAATATATTATTTTGGTTTCGTAAAGAGCATCAAGAAATTGTACTTAAACCACCCTGTACGCAGGATTTCCTTATGATGCAACTTTGAGGTTGCAATATAGAGTGGTACCATACAATTACTAAACCAAAGGAGGAGCAAGTGACATTGCTTAAACATGTAAATTCCAATTTTAGTTTTAATTAGGGGAAAAGAGACTTTTCTTGCTTCAAAGATGCTAAGTATTACCAAAGTACAAGAAAAATGGATGAAGAAAAATGTAGAACTGAGACAGGGTCATCAAAATATGAAACATTATGACGCTATTCATATTTCATTCGAAACAGCATAGACAAACAGGCAAGTGAATAAATTATTTGTTAAAAAGTGAGAAACTTACTCTGCACATTTGAAGCATCTCTTGTGAATGATGTCTTCTGCTGGCATGGCCACCTCATCTCCTCTCTGCACCTTAGAGTCACACACCTTACAGTTACCCAATGGAAGTAGCATACACGATTCACTCTTACTCCTCCTCCGCATCACCTTCTCCTGCTTGTTTGGTATCGACTCTCGCGACAGCATCCGACGCAATCCCGAAAACGGTTTCTTGCTGGTCGGCGCCGTTTGGGCGAGGATATCAACCTCCTCCATGATAACGGACGAGCGCTTCTCCCGCTTCTCACAGCTGTACGGGTTCTTATCAGAATGGGAGCGTTGCTTGGGTGTTTTCACCTTCCCATGATCCTTCTTGCGCGGTTTGGGATATTTCTCGTTTTTGCGAACAAAGAAATCCGGTTGCAAGATGCTGGATTTACTCTGAGGTAATGCGCGGTATGAGGCTGGTAGCGTACTAGATTTCGGTTTTCCACCGTTAAATTTGACTTGAGGTTTATCCACGTGCGTATCATCCTTAAAGAGAGTAGATCCAATATTCCGAGGTAAGGTGCCTGATTTGGGTCGGGGCTCCTCCGGCTCTTCAAACACGTCGTCCAAGGAACACCCATCGACTCGACCCTCACTGCGGCTTCGGTTCGGAAGACGAAGTCGCTTGAACCAAGGGGAGGATTTGCCAAGGGAGTCCAGAGACTGACCGGATCGGCCATTGAGGATGTCATCGTCAAAGAAGGTGAGGGAAAGATCAAAACTGACTTGTTTTCGGAGTAAAGGCGCACTCCTACACTCCATATTGGTCCCTCGCATGTTGTACGGTGCTCTATCCAAGCTCACCATATCATTTCTGCTGTCCACGGAGGAGCTATCGCATGTCTCACTATCAGTAGTATGCTCCATGGCCTCATATACCCCAATCGACTCACCCCCCTCCTCTTCATCGTGGTACATTCCATTCATTCCACTCTCTGTAGTACAAATCAAATTATCCCTCGATGAGACCATTCCCCCTCCTGGGGGTGCATTATCTAGTCTATCCTCTTGCGAGAGGGCACCCTGGTGTGCCACCTGCACTTTTCCGCTCTCCAAATTGCACTTGCTTTTCAGTGTCTGAAAATCTAGTGCTTTGCTTGGAATAGCGCCATTAGGTGGCACAAAATCTTCCCTCCTGGTCCAGATATCTTCTATTTGAGGTTTGTGAGTTGATGAGTTGTCATCGCTGGTATGGCCTCTTCTGACCTTCAAGTCTGTTTCTTCAATTAACTGAGAGCAGTTCTCATTAAGGGCCATACCATCTGGAGGTGTGAGATTCATTTCAGTCATGTTGGAATTATTACCCGGCACCGCTCTCCCCGTTGAACTTGACTCGTCCGATTCCAGCGGTATATCGACGACGATCAGACGAGGTGGATCGCGGAGCTTTGGTTCTGATTGCGCATGGTTCAAGCCGTTTGTTCCATGTATGTTATCATTGATAGAGTTGACTTGCTCGCTGTATGACATGCCGCGGGATGATGCCAGCCTTCGACTGGGGTGAGGGCTTGCATGCCTCTGGCGGTTAATAGCATTACAGCTTCCCCCAACACTGCTATCCTGAGTCTCACCGGTGAATCCAGTATTATTGCTACGACTACGATTTAGATTCTGTGGTCCATTATCATCAACAAAACAGTTGAGCATTGCTGGCTCGCTGATCTGACGAAATATTCTCTTTTCTTGAACAAACTCCTGCGAAGCGCTGGAACGTTCTAATGTAGGAGTCAGGGTGTGCATCCGTCGCCCCGTTCCAAGACTCGGTGCGTTGGGGTGCCCTCTTTGTTGGGTATGACCGTTGCTGAATCGCGAAGCATTGCTGCTGTAACTCAGCGAACGTCCAAACTGCTGAGGCATCTGACGGCCTCTGGTTATAATTGCCTGGTGCTTGTTGCGATGTGTGAAATCTGCCAGGCAGCGTGCCATGGTTTCCCCGGCAACCGCCTCCTCAAAGCTCATCAAGCGAGGGCGTTGCTTTGGTTGTAAGGTAGCCTTACTCAACGAGAGTGACTCCCCAACCTTATTCTCATCATGATTACCCATGTTATTCTCGTTCATTTTATCTTTAGTCTCATTCCTCCCTCCTCCTCCTCCCTCCTCATTGAGCCGCTTCCCATTAGGAACCATTATCATCTTCTCTTTGGTATCGTCTCTCTCTAGTTCCTCCATGGTTACGAAGGGTTGCTAGGCCCCTTCGTAACAATCGCTAGCGATGATTGAGATACAAGCCTCTTGTAATTACACATCAACTCATTTGAAGTGGACGATGAGTGGAAGATAAACAGCAACAGATCATGTCTGAAGATTAACAACCGGCGAGTAAATAAACCTGCGCTTGAGATCAGAATGTTCCGTTCATCTCAAGCCCCAGCTTCCCCCCTTCTGGTTGGACTTTAGCAGTGACAGCTCGTACCTCGCCCGCCCTTGAAGCTCATTACAGATGTTTTAATCCTGGCTCAAGGAAGTACAATGCAGCCTCGATCATCATCTATTCATGAACAATATGATCCCCATGGCCAAGCCTTCTGCAGTGAAAGAGGGAGGGAGACAGAGGGGGAGGGAGATAGAGAGGTAGAAAGAAAGAAAGAAAGGAAGAGGGGGCAAGAAAGAAAAGAAAGAAAGAAAGAGAGAGGGGACAAGAGGAGGGGTCAAGAGGAGGAAATGAGGATAGAGAGAGTGGAAGAGAGAGAAGGGGAGGGAGAGAGAGTGGAAGAGAAAGAGAGAGAGTGGAAGAGAGAGAGTGAGAGAGAGAGGGAGAGAGAGAGGGGGAGAGAGGGAGAGAGAGAGGGGAGAGAGAGAGGGAGAGAGAGAGGGGAAGAGAGAGATAGCAGGAGAGAGGAGAGAGAGGAGAGGGAGGGAGGGAGGGAGGGAGGGAGAGAGGGAGAGAGAGATGGGATGGAGAGAGAGAGAGCGGAAGAGAGGAGGGGGATAGGAGGGGGAGAGAGGGGAGACAAGGAAGGGAGAGGAAAGACACAAAGAGAGAGGGGGGAGAGAGAGAGATTATTATTAATGACCAGTAGATTAAACATTAGACACATTTAATAGAAGGTGAAGAAATGACATACCATCTGTTGAGAGCCAGAAGGGCATATTAACTCTGTATTGAATTACACATAACTTAATGCCTTTCTCACCCTCACTCAGCTAGCAGACGATATGAAACTTATCCCCACCATCTTAATATCATCAATGGTGAAACATTTATAATGACCATATCACATTGCAGAGATTAATTCACAATGCTGTGGGGCTAATTCATCAAAAAAGCAAGGGCACCATTTGTTCTTATGGACTGTACTTATAACACTATGCAACAGCCCGTGAGATCTGTGTGACATCTGTCTCTCCTAATAGGGACATGCAGCTGATCATTGCGTATCATATTTCATGGCAATTACTCTCATTAATACAAGAAAAACCTTGCACATGTCTCATTTTAGACAGAGACATACACCCGCCCTCTTCAAAACCAACAGTATCAAATGTTAAAAGGCATTAAGCACTTACAACATATTCATTGTTTGAAAATTCATGTCTTCCTAAAGTTTCTTTTGTATAAAAAAATCAACAAAATCATAAATATAATCTTATTCATGGCAATTACTCTCATTAATACAATAAAAACCTTGCATGTGTCTCATTCAACACATGAGACATACACCCGCCCTCTTCAAAACCCACAGTATCAAATGTTAAAAGGCATTAAGAACTTACAACATATTCATTGTTTGAAAATTCATGTCTTCCTAAAGTTTCTTTTATATAAAAAAAATCAACAAAATCATAAATATAATCTTATTCATGGCAAATTACTCTCATTAATACAATAAAAATCTTGCATGTGTCTCATTCAACACAGAGACATACACCCACAGTATCAAATGTTAAAGTCATTAAGCACTTACAACATATTCATTGTTTGAAAATTCATGTCTTTCTAAGTTAAGTTTCTTTTGTATAAAAAAAAATGATCAAAATCATAAATATAATCATATTCTGATATTGATTCTGACAGAGTTCTGTGTCCACAAAAAGATGTTTCTACCAGACCATGTTGCCTTCCAAACTAACCAACATAAGGGGGGTACATTTAAAACTAAATGACTTTGTTGTGTATTGATCCCTGCAATGGTCAGGCACAACATTTTCATATAAGGGTTAGAGTTAGGGTTATACTTAGTTTCAAGTTTCACAAAATAGAATTCACATACATGTAAATGACAAAAGTATGACATATATGACATATATATCCAAAGTATGTCATTATAAAATTAGTTCATTGTAAAGACGTTGAAATTTACTGTTTTAAATTGGTGGGCTATATACAGTGTGAAATTTGAAATGTGAGGAACCTATTAAAAAGCTTAGGTTGTAGAATATACTTACAATTTGATGTTGGCAGCTTTACTTAGAGTAGAAAATAAGTGTGATACTACTCCATAATTGACAGAAAGGCTTGTTTCACACTGCTAACAGACTGAATGGTTATCAAATAGTAGCTCTCACAGAATAGCAGACAATACACTTTGGCATAATTAACATACTGGCACCCTGCTAAAGTTTGCGTGAACAAAAATTTAAGCCCAACAACTACTTACTTAGTCCCCATTTCTTTGTGCTTTTCTTGGCTCTAATTTAGTCTTTTGAAGGGGATTATTTGCATGTCTCATATACAGGTACAGGTACTTGTAGAGCAAACTATTAAGCTTTTTGTATCTTTCAAGGAAAAGGCTTTATATGAAATATTGTGTGAATTTTTTCATGTTTCTTTAGTATCTCTCACTTTTCCTTCCTTTTCCTTTCTTCTTTTTTTGCGCTAAGAAACATTAGTATTAAGCGCTTTATAAATATAATGTATTAATATTATTATTATTATTGCATTGAATATCACCAATAAGTTACATCAGGAATGGAGGAAATTTTATATCCATTGGAGCCGTGGATGAATACTAGTCAGCCATGAAATCTACTCCGAAACCGGATGTTCTCTCGAAGATCGACAGAGGATGACCTTTCATAAAATCAACAGTGACAGCTCTCCCTCAACTTCACGACATTTACTCTTTAATTCTCAGGGGTCAAAAATGGTTTCGGACCAAGCAATCTTTCCATTCACATCCCCCATAATCATATTTTAAACACAGCCCTGGCCGACTATACGGGCTATTTTCCTTGAATTCGAAAATACTCCGCACACGGTAAACAAAATAATCAAATTATCACGTTACAACAATTTCCCAAAGAATCTTCACACTTCTGAGTCCCAAATCTAATTCCCTAGGACATAGTTTCGCAGGTGCCCTGCAAAGATGGGGCGAGGAAATCAGATAGTTTACAGGTTTCCATGACAACCATCGTCATGGAGAGTGGGGAGTTGCAGGTCCTATATATATACACACCCAGTCTTTAATATGATTGCTCTTGCTTGCCGACAGATGGTGGGTAAATAGATTAAGTAGAGGCTTACAAATTGTAGGGTTGGCGATGCCTGATCAACGAGGGAATGGGGCTCAGGTGCGTTCACATAAGAACCTGGCTCAACTTGTACAACACTAAAGATGATATCCCTTTGTTGCTATGCCTAAGGTGATAGCTGTTCAGTGTGAATGATCTACTAAGATTTTGGGCATACATAGTTCTAAGGAGATCAGCTGGGGGGCGTTTCATAAAGCTGTTTGTAAAGTTACGCATGACTTTACGAATGACTTTACGAAAAGCGAAGTAGGATGCTAAATCTTTTTTAACTGCATCAACTAAAGTTGAACTGTGCAGATGTAGATTAACGTTATTACTATAACAAACACTTTGTTAAAACATCAGGAAAAACTTTGGGCATCCTACCTGGCACTTCATATTCCAGTCGTTTGTAGAGCCATGCGTAACTTTACGAATGACTTTATGAAACACCCCCCTGTTGTACTTCAAAAGCACAAACAGAGTCAATACCGGTATTTGGATTCTTTTTTTTTTCCTTCATGCCATAAGTAGGAATCATTTATAATGAGAAGTGAAAGAGGGAAAAACAAAGACTAACATAAGGAGAGACAGAGAGAAAGAATGATAAATAATAGAAAATTAAAAGATAGAAAAGAAGATGAAAGATGGAAAAATAAAGAGCATTAGAAAAACAGAAAACAGAAAATGATAGAATGACAAAAAATAACAAAATATAGCAGTCTATTCGTTTTGTTTAGTATATATTTTAATAGTATATTATTATAAGCGCTTAGAGACATTTGTATTACGGCGCTATATAAAAGCTAAATATTATTATCATTATTATTATTTCAAATTCTGTGCGAAACATGTGACCCGCTGACCTTTGCTACCCAAGCAACAGGAGCAGTCTAGCTTGTGTGTGAACATAGACAAAGCGTACCTCTGGAGCAATCCAGTGGATAGGTCTAGCCAGGGCTTACACCTCCCTGGTCTAGCCTAGATCGGTCTAGGAAGAGAGTGAGAACGGGGTCCAAGTTGAGACCTATTGTTATAGGAAAAAGACTTCCCCGCTACAAATACCAAAGTTCTAAAGCACATAATAAGGAAATGATGGCCCATTAGCATGTTGGGAACCTGGCTTTTCAAAATCCCATAAATTCAGCCTCTAATGTAATTTATCACTTTTTGGTTTTAAACTAATTCTATGAATCATGGGGAGTTAGTCACTCTGAGAGGATCGAAACCGAATAAAATGTTACTTTTGTTATCCTTTACCGTCCATGTTGCCTTTATTTTGCAAGGAAGGATATGTGTAGTTAAGTCCTTGAAAAGTTCAATGAACCACCACATGAACTACTTCTTATAAGTTCCCTACATTCCTTTTTTGAAGGAAATGTTCTCTATGTAAATTCTCCCTCACCCCACTCTCTATATCTATCTACTAATCAATCCATCCATCCATCCGTCCGTCTGTCCGTCCATCCATCCATCTACTTACTTGTATCTATCTACCTATACTACCTACCTACATGTACCGCTCTCTCTCTCTCTCTCTCTCTCTCTCTCTCTCTGTTTTTTTCCTCTCTCTTTGTCTATCTCTCTTTCTAGCATGCTCTACACATTTCATTCCAACTATCTCTCTACCTGTCTGTCCATGTATCTATATGTTTGTTATCTCCTCTCTCTCTCTCTCTCTTCTCCCCTCCCCCATCTCTCTCTCTCTCTCTTTATATCTCACCCCCCCCCCCCTCTCTCTCCCCTCTCTCCCCTCTCTCTCTCTCTCCCTCCCTCTCTCTCTCTCTTCTTGTCTCTCTCTCTGTCTCTCTCCCTCTCTTTTTCTCTGTCATCATTCCACTCTATAATACCCCTCCCTCCCTCCCTCCCTCCCTCCCTCCCTCCCTCCCTCCCTCCCTCCCTCCCTCCCTCCCTCCCTCCCTCCCTCCCTCCCTCCCTCCCTCCCTCCCTCCCTCCCTCCCTCCCTGGACCAAACACCATCATGAATCATGAGAATATACAGGTGAATCACCTGCTCTACTCCAAACCAAGCATCATAAATTAGTTTCTATTCTATTATCTACCTCACATAAAGACAGGATATAAAGTCAGGGGTGGGTTGGGTCATGGTTCTAGTATGAAACCATCAGGGTCTACAAGTAGATGTGTATGAACCCTACAAGTTCACAGATGATGCGCAGTCCCGCCCCCCCCCCACTCAGTGTTATTTAGGGTACGCATATGCTCGTTCCCTCTTTTTGAAAGCACCCCCTATCTGAGGACTGCCAACATTTCCGAACCCCCCTTTCGCGGGCTTTTAGCAGGCTTTTTCTGCCTTGGAGACCCCCCTAAATCAGGAAAAATGCTCAATGAACCCCCCTAAATTTGGGAAAATTTCTCAGGAGTCCAAAGAGATGAGAGAAAAAAAGAACAAACACCCCCTTTTTAAAAAAATCTCCTGGTGAAAAGTCAAATACGTACACCCCTTTTTTTACAATTCTCGGGCCGGACTTTGTCGCACGAAAAGTACCCCTTTACCGGACATTTTGGCAACACGCATGTGGTCATTTCGAAACCTGAGTGGGGGGCCAGGGCGTAGTCATGGTCAGAACACTTACAAGTTCGATCTCCAAAGTTTTTTTTTCTCCGGGGCCCCCTTTCATCAAACTTACTATCAATAATAAGTTACAACGACTGTTATCAAGCTACTGAAATCATAGTAACTGACTGGCTGAGAGCTAATTTGCTATAGAATGTTTGCCTTTGATAGTCATTGGAAGTTTTATGAAGCCCTGGACATTGTTTCATGAAACCGTCATAAGTACAAGTTCAGTGACATCCCATCAAAACGAAGGTTAATCTTAATACATGTATTTGTATGGGATGTCAGTGCACTTGAAACGCTGCCCAGGGCCCCATTTCACAAACTTGTCATCAGTGACAAATGACATTTTTTGTATAATCTACTGAAATCCTTGCTTCTGATTGGTTATCAGCAGATTTGTCACTGAATTTTGTCATTTGTCATTAAAAACTGGCTTTGTGAAACGGGGCCTAGGTCTTGATCCGAGAACCCCTGTAGCCCGCCTTTAAGAGTTGGCGGTTAATCCAAGTTGAAGGCGATTACTTTTCTGATCAATCGCAGAGCTACAATGTTCTATCGATCATCAGCATCATCATCGTGATACAAGGGGAGATTGATCCTGCAATCCTCGGTCACTTCTTCAGGGTTGGTTATCTTCTACAGACTCTGATCGATGAGGAGTCAATGTCTTAATTTTGCGCATGTGAAGGGTAGATTCAGTTTGGATCATATTAGATTAAATCAAATCATTTACACCACCAGTGCTTTTTCAATCTTGCCCTGATCACATATGATGATGTTGGGCTTTCTGATCCTTATCTTTAAATATAAAAACTCCCATTGTCGGGGTCCCATTTCATAAAACTTGTTATCGATGGCAAGTTGCAATAACTGCTATATGCTAATGAAATCGTTGCATTCGATTGGCTGTGACCGATTTTGTTTTAGCCATGTGATCCTTGTTATTGATGAAAAGTTTAATGAAACACTGCAAATCCGATCATTTTTCATTAGACAGTACCCAGTCTCGACTACAACATTGATGAATTTAAAGCCGTCTACAATATAGTTTGGACAGGAGGGATTAGACCTCCCTGCAAGGTCACTGACCCATGGTTATCATATCAAATCAGCTGTCAATTAACACAAGAAAAGGGGATCATGGTGGACCAACAGGCACCGATTGAGCATTGTCTGCTATATGGAGGGTGCAAGTAGCTATAAGTAGTACAGTGGGGCTTTAAGCCTGTCTATCTGTCTGTTTGTTTCATATTATAACTTTAATCACAACTTCAACCCATCACAACTTGAGCCCATCAAAACAAAAGCCACTATTTGATTCCCAAGATTGCCATGTATCCAGACAGACAGACCCCCATGCTTGATCATGCACACCCTTCTTTCCTTCTTGTGCGTGTTCTCCTTCCTGAAACATAACACCAAGGCATTAATGTTCCGCAGAGGTTGATCCCGGGATTGATA